GTGTTCCATCTCATTTCCCTTTGGGGTTGCTGTAGGTGATCTGGAAGTCTGGTTTTGAGACTTATTTATGTGTTTTCTCATTTCTACTGGGGCGGCAGGGGGTTGCTGTTGGCATCCACGCGGCTCACCTCCTCTGAGCTGGTAGAGGTGGGCCAGGGGCTGGAAGTAGCAGTAGGGATGGTGGCCTGAAATCCCCTTCCTCTGTGCCAGGAGCATCGGGAGGTTTGGTGGCCCAGAAGCCCCTTCCTCTGTACCAGGAGCCGTGGGATGGCGGCTCAGAAGCCCCTACCTCTGGGCCAGGAGTGGCAAGACAGAAGGCTGCCCAAAAGCCCTTTCCTCTGGGCTGGGAGCAGTGGGAGGGATGGTGCCCGGGCAGCCCCTTTCTCTGGACCAGGAGCAGTGAGACGGCGGCTCAGAAGCCCCTACCTCTGGGCAGGAATTCTTTAAATGCTGAGAACTTGATTAGCTCCAGTACAGTGGTCTGGTGGTCCGGTTTCCTCTGCATCTTTGTAGTGTCGAACCAGGTGGCTGTACAGAGAAGAGGCCAAAGGAGCAGGGGGCAGGGCGTCCAGTGGATTGCTGCCTCCATGCTACTGGCAACCTCGGGACCGCATCCAGAGACCTGCCTGTCTGCAGCGGGCTGATTCTGTGTTTTCTGCGCTACTCAAAGTAATACATTCTTAAAACACATTAAGGTGACGTAAAGAACATAAGAAGTGTTAGTCCCTCCATCTTGTCCCCTTCCCCTCTACTGGTTTATGATGCTTCTCAGAGGTACTCATGTTAAACAGTCTGATAAGGGACCTGCAACATTCATTTCTATATACAACTGTATAAGTATACACTCACAGGTATTTGTTTATTAAAAAACTGTACTACATGAATATTATTTTTCTACAAAATATTTTCTTTACATAACAATAGGTCAGGAGGATTTCTTTGTTAATGTAAATGTAAGTCTGACTGATGATTGGAATTTCATTGTATAGCTGCCTGTTAAAGACAGTGGTACAAGAAAATGATTTTTACACACATTTTAGTGTAAAAATTTTAGTGGCTTAGAGACAGATCTTTCTAATCTAATACAGCATTAGATTTGTATATTTTAAATTCAGATAATTATCACTTTGTAAGAAAGTCATGCTAATTTATCTTTTAAGGTAGCCAATCTTGGTGTTCCACCCAGATCCTCTTGACTGAGTTGATCATCCATTCCTAGCCTGGACATTGTTGGATGGTGATGCCTAGAACTGCCCCTTTTCCAGAATCTTGTCCTAGGATGACCGATGCTGCCTTGCCCTGGAAGTTAACTGTCCTTACTGTCCCCCTGCCTATCCTTGCCTTAATTAGCCTAATGTCAGTGGTTTGAACCTGAAGCACAGGGTCTGTGGCCCCTTACCTCAAGGTGGGACACACTCTGTAGGTCCAATTCAAGCTCTAGAGCTATAGATGGGATCAGGCTAAAGCCAGAGTCCAGCAGAGCCTCCGTCTGTCATCCTTGAGCAGCATTTTTCCTTGCATTAGCCCATTTCCCTCCCTGTCTTTGTCCTAAGAGCTTTCTCTCAGTGAACCCCGTGGATCCAAATCCCAAAACACTCTTCCTCCAGCAGTATATGGGAATATTCATCCCAAACATGTTTTGAATTGGATGTCGTCTCTTGTATTTTCTAATCTTTTGAATGAAACATTTTGCATAGAAATTTTACATTTCCTTATTATTAGTCATATTGACATTTTTTATTTTTGTTTATCACATTTCTTCTTAATTCTGTTCTGCTTGTTGCCTGTTTTTCATTTAGACTTTTTTTGCCTCTTACTGATTTCTAGGAATCTATATTACGAATAATGTTATTATTTTTGTATTAAGTATTTTCTCCTAGTCTGTTACTTTTGTTAATGTTATGAAATGCTCTGAAAAGCCTACCCTACTTAAAAATTAGATATACGATTCTCCATTTTTTTCTGGTATATTTTATAGTATTTTTTTGAGTGGTGATACAAAATATTGATATGGTGGCAATATTCTCCTAAAATGAGCTTTTCTCTCTATACCTTTAGCTCTGGCTTTTAAACTTAGACAGTTTGGTGATTGAATCTTTGAGAAGTTCCAAGCATATCACAAAGTTCCCCTTATTTGAAGACACATTGAAATCAGACTCCAGTCCTGCCTGGAATGCTGTCAAAGTCCTATACCAGCCATGCATCAAAAGTAGGAATAAAAAGTAAGTTGTACTCTTGTTTTCTTATTGCACATTATGTTTTAGTTCCTATTGCCATGCTGATATTAATAAATTAATGCATTAAATGTTACTATACCACTTCCCTACTTGAAGCTTCCAGGAGTCATGTTGTTGAATATGATTTTAAAGTAGATTGAATTACTACAGATGATTCATATTAACATGGGGAAAGTTTGCTTTTACTTTAAAAATAATTGGTCTTTTTCTTGTAATCTCAGCTGTCAATAGGTATGATGTCAGAAGTACATCAGACTAACAACTACAAATACCTGGTGATAAGCACTTTCCAGATATTTAGGATAACAGCAGTGGACAAATGTAGTCCCTGCCTCCTGAGGTTATCATTTGAACAGGGGAAGCAGACAATAAATGACACCAACCAAGCCAATTAAAAATGTATGTGACTCTAACAGTGTGTCCTGTATTCATCTAAGCTCATCTGGGCTTCTTTAAGGCTAACAACAACCCTGTGAGGTAGGTACTATTGTCACTCCTGTGTTAAAGATAAGGACACTAATATCCAGGTGGTGGATTGTTCAGGTGAAAATGAAGCAAGATAAGGTAATTAGATAGAGGTAGGATGGCCATAGGAAGCTCTCATTTTATAGTGGAACGCCAGAGATGATTCCTCAGATAAGCTATTTAAGTGGAAAACTTCAAAGAAGTGAAGTTGTGAGCTATATCTGAGGGAAGAGCATTCCTAGTGGAGGGAACAGCATGTATTTTATTTGGGCAAATGGGAAATTAGTATCTGTCTGCAGAGATACCAGTTTTGTTTTGTTTTTTTCTGAGAAGTAAATAAGACATTTTTAAAAAGAATTATAGCTTTTTAAAAATTACACAAGCAGCCCAAATCATAAGATTCAAATACTTAGAAACATACATTAAATATGAAAGTTCTCTTAGCATGTCCCTCTCCAGAAGTACGAATTGTGTCATATATTCTTCCATTATTTTTTCTACTTGTTTTTTATCTTAATATAATTGGAATGATACACGTCTTTTACATTTAAAAAAATAAAATGCTTTGTCTTGGTGATTTCTCTTCCATGTCAGTGCTTGACATTTTATGACATGGATAGACTATAATTAGTTAACTTTTTGATTCATGGATACTTGGGTTATTACTTTTTCCTGTTATAATTCATGTTGAACTATGTACTCTTGCATATGTAAGTTTTTCTTTTAATAGAGATTTCTAAAGGTACAATTACTGAGTCAAAGGATATGCACATTTAAAATTTTGGTAAATAATCTCATTGTTTTGTAAAAAGGCATCACAAATTTGTAATCCCACCAGAAGCTCCCTTAAATGCCCGTTTCTCTGAGCTCTCACTCAGTCTAGCATTTAGATTTTTGCCCATTTGATGGCAAACTAAATAGGCTTAATCCACTCTCCTTATGTTTTAGTAAGGGATGATCAGAGAATGCATTCACATATTTTATGCTTTTGAGACTTGTGGAGGGAATGAGTTAACACATGGTCAACTTTTGATCTGTTTATTAATTATATTATGTTGGAGTTGTGTGGGTGTGCACCTTTATATATTTAGATTTATATACTCAGGTTTATTAAAACCATTTGTGTTCATCTTTTCTACCTATTTGAAATTTAGACTTTTGTGGTCTAATCACACAATGATTATGAAAGTCATTTTCTTTTGTTTTTTATTTCAGTTTTTGCATTTTATATTTTGAAACTTATTAGATACATACTTTGTGCACAAAAATTTAGCTAGTTGCATATTTTATCAATATGATTCTACTCCTTTTTTAATTTGATGTTATATTATTTCTAATTTGCCTTATGTGAATACTACTGTTTAGTTATTAAAAGTTACTGACTTCTTGCATATGTTTTCATTTCTTTAGTTTTACTGTCCTGTGTCTTTTTATCTTAGTTATAATGTCTTACTAACATTTACCTTGTAAACCACATGTAGCTGAATATTTTAAAACTCCAATGTGTAAGTCTCCTTTTTAATAATGAATTTGATTAATTCATATTTATTGGGACTACAGATATTGTAGAATGTAGTCTGCTCCCTTCTGCTCCTCTTTACTACTAGGAATTGAATCCAGGCCCTTTGCACTGGGCTACATCTCCAGGCCTTTTTAATAATTTATTTATTTATTTATTTATTTTTAAAATTTTGAAATGGGGTCTTGCCAAGTTGCTAAGTTGCCCAGGCTAGGCTCAAATTGGCCATCTTCCTGCTTCACCCTCCCAGAATAGTAAGATTACAGCCTTGTACCACCACACCCAGCTTAGTCTTTTAGATTAGTTGCCTTTCCTGTGTCATTTCTTTCCTCTAATGGTTTGGAAGTAAAAGATATCTCTTTCAAAACTATTTTTTATGGTTAATCTTAAAATTTTAATGTGCATAGTTAAATTAATTCCTTTTTACTATCAATACCTAGATTTAACTGTTATCTGTACTCTTCACTAGAACAAGAAAGAGTTTCACATTTCTCTTCTTGTTCCCTCTCTTACCTACTCCCTTCCCAGGGTTGAGATCATCTGTAATTCTAGTGCTGCTAACTGCTTTTCTTTTTCAGATATCAAGCCAATGATCTACCCCATCTTTTTAGTTCTTGCTCTCATACAACATGACTATAAATGCTTTTATGTGTTTTTGTTGTACAAGTATTCCATAATAATGTGTAATGTTTGATATGTTTTAAAAATATTTATAAATAACATTACACTCTTCCTGAAATTTGTTTTTTCACTCACTATTCTTTGTTTTGTTTTTTAATTTGATAAAATTTTTAATAGTTCTTTTAATCTTGGGCTATAGTTAATCCTCAGAGGTCTGAAAATGTATCTATTCTATCTCTTTGAAAATCCTCAAGATTTTCTTTTTATCTTTGGTTTTCTAAGGTTTCATACAGATATGTCTAAATGTATGTGTTCACTCAAAGTTTTCTTATGTCATATTTGTTCTTTTTTTTTGTTTTTGTTTTTGTTTTTGTTTTTTTGGTACCAGGGATTGAACTTTGGTCCTTCTGCTTGTGAGGCAGGCGGCGGAACCATTGAGCTAAATCCCCAGCCCCTGTCATATTTGTTCTTAATGATACTCTCTGTCTCTGTCAGAATAAGAATTACACTTAAAGCCTTGTATTTTCTCTGTTAACTGTTTTTCCTTGAGTGGTAGCTTTTTTGTTTTTGAGAAAAGGGATTGAGTTTAGTAACTCTTCTTCATGGCATTGCTCCACCCAATGGTGTATGATGGTTTGACTAGAACTCCTGGCCTGAGATGGGAATTTTTTGCCAACTACCACCATGTCTTCCCTGCTCACCCTGACAAATACTTGTAAAAGACCTTAAAACATACAGTTTGCATATATGCAGTGATACACGGTATTCTGGTCATCTTTATATATAATAATTACAGTTCATCAATTGGTGCCTATAGGTTCTTGGTCTGTAGTCTGTCTTCATGGATTAATGAAAGATAACTGAAAGGATATGTTAGTCTGGATGAATCTGTTTGTCTTTTGGAAACTTTAAGGATGTAATCATAGATTCAGTCATTATGATAAATCTTGTATTTGTTATATGTAATGTCTTCACACTACACTGCCTTTCTTGAGGAGTGTTAAAAGAATTTGATCTATTTGCCCTATTATTTTACTCATATTAACAAATTCTCATGACACTGGAAATAAAATGATTATTGTCAGTCATGTTCTGCTGTGTCTGATTAGTAGTCTCCTCTACCCTTTTAAATTCTAGATATCTTGGAGGAAAGTTGATATCTAATAAATGAGTTTGATTAGTTTATCCCTTGTGTAAAAGCACTTCTGCTGTGCTTTTCCTTCTGCTATATTTGGCTCTTTTTTGCCCAAGGTAGGAAAGGCCTTTTGCACTTGGGTAAACGTACTGTGAGTTACTTGCTTTTGTCCTTTAAGGACATTAGTGTCTTCCTTTTTGGGGGCATGACTGAGCAAACTCTAGACTCTGGCATATTTTTGACACATGAGGTGATGCATTAACTATTTTAGTCCAGTTGGCTAGAATTCTTTTCTAGTGGAAGTATGGACTGCCAGATGGTAGTCTAAAAGAGGAAAATAGCAAATATAACTATAGTTTTATTTCCTTGAACATTCACAAAAAAGTGGCATATAGTATTTTTAGAATGTTCTTTCTAGCAATCTTTCTCAACATTTTGAAGTGTGTTGTTTTTCATCCCTTTCCTCTTTGCTCCAACTAGTTTCACATGTTGTTGAGCACCAATAGTTTTTCATTGTTTTCCATTTTGTATTAGTATTATATTCTGTCTATAGGAGTATATTCTATCTATACTCATCCTTTGTATTAGCATTTAGATCCTATGTATAAATTTTTTAGCTCTAGACCTCTAAATTTACTTCTGTAGTGTATGCCAATTTGTCACTTCATCTGTGGCCTCAAATTCTCTAGACTGGGGGTGATTTTGTTCCTCAAAGGACATTTGGGGATATCTAGAGACATTTTTGGTAATAACTTGGAGGACTGCTTTCATCTAATAAATAGACAGAAAATTCCCTATAATGCATATGACAGCCCCTCCCCAAGCAGCAAAGAATTTTCTGGCCCCAAATGCCAGTAGTACCAAAATTGAAATCCTGTTTTGCACTGTCTCTTAAAACCAAACTGTTTCTGTATGGCATAGCTCACAATTTTCTTTTATTTTTAGATCAACCAGTAAGAGAAATTCAGTTATGGTATGAACCAAAATCTCTATAACTTCACATGTTAATTTTGTTAGAATAAACAGAATAAATGTTGAAATATATTAGAAATGTTTATTGTTACCCTTCTCTCTTTTTCTGTAAGAGAAATAATTCTTTTAGTTATATCCCTGAAGGAAATAGCTGGATAATATGGTAGTTCTACTTTTAATTTTTTGAGAAACTTTTGTAATGTTTTCCATAGCACTTCACACATATCTAAACAGTACACAGCATTCTAATTTCTCTATATCCTTGCTAATATT